AATTTACCTTGGACTGTATCACTGGGTTCTAGATAATGAGTTATAAATACAAGTATAAATAGAAGAGAGAGCATGCCCTTCTTCTTGCTCCATTTTTCTGCTTACTTCGTGGGTTGCAAGTATAATTGCTGAACCTCAAGCAACCATGTTGGACCATGAAGTGAATCTGGAAATAAAATCCATGCATAGTGGAATAATAACATAAGAGACTAAGCCTCCGACATCTATAAAGCCAGCATACCAGTCTTGAACAGACAATCTTCTGACCTCTTTTACATGAAAGAAAAATAAACTTCTATTTTCTTTAGACCACAATTATACCTTGAGAGGTTTGTTTTGTTTTTTGTTTGTTTGGTTTTTGTTACTGGGAATTTAACTCAGTTACATTCTACCACTGAGCTATATCTTTAGTCCTTATTATTATTATTTTTTAATTTTAAGATAGGACCCTGAGAATTTGCCCAGGCTTGCTTCAAACCTGCACTCTTTCTGCCTCAGACTCCCAAGGCACAGGGATTACAAGCATGTTCCACTGCACCTGGCACACTGAGGTTCTTTTAATCTAACTGATACATAAACCCAATTTCCATTGAATGAGCAATATACTATAAATTACATTTCCTAAGAGAGATATCATTCTATGTCTTTTTAACATTTAAAAACATTGAAAATTGACCATTCTTATGATCACATAGTCCAAAAGATACCCCATTTTAAACAATCAAATTCAATTCTATTTTATGAAGAATTGAGTCAAGCTTATACATGTGTGTGGTATGTCTTAGGAATATTTGACTCAACACAATAAAGAATTGGATTTTAAAAATATTTTCTGATAATTTGAATATAAATTTTATCAACTCAAAAATATTTCATAGGTACTTTGAAAATGCTTCATAGCATTTAGTGCTACTATGTCTGTCTGTGCTGTTATAAGAAAATATCACAGGCTAGGTAATTTATGAATTATATAAATTTGTTTTTCACAGTTCATGTGGCTGGGAAATACATGGTCAAGGTGCCAGCAGATTTTGTATCTGATGAGGATCACTCCCTGAATCCAAGATGGTGCCTTCTGGCTGCATCTTCTGAAGGAGATGAATACTGTATACTCACATGATGAGAAAAATGGAAAGGTAAAAGCATCAGACAGCTCTCTGAAGTCTCTTCTATAAGGAAATTAATCCCATTCATAAAGGCAAAATGTTCTTGATTCAACCAATTCCTCCAAAGCCTCACCTCAACACTATCACATTGATGGTTAGGCTCCACGTTTTCAAGGGACATGTACATTTAAATCATACAAACCAGCACTGCTAAAAGTCAAGCTGATTCTTGCTCCACCTTTGGCATCCTTCCTCTTGAGCCCCACTCCCATGTTCAGCAATGATTTAAATCCTGAGGATCAATCCCAAGCTAAGGCAAGAGATGCCAATACCCCACTAGTTCCCCCATCTGAGACCTCAGTTTCAAATGACCATTGCTGCTCATCAGGCTGCTGGGTACGAAAGTGTGATTCTTAATAAATGCTTTTGGGAAATGGGGAGAAGGGAGAAGGTGGAACAATACTAAGAGCACTACGTCCTGGGTTTTAGTTCTGGCACCTTCAAGAAAGCACATGCTTTTTCTGCTTCAATTTATATATCTAATAGAAAAGGAAGAACTCAGGCTTTGACCTTTCATTGGGTTTCCATGAAATTTCATAAAACAATTTTTGAGGAAGGGATCTGTAAATTTAAAGGGCCCCCATCATATAACAGGTCATGAAGATACTTAGAAAGCCAATAGAAAAGGAAGAAACTTGGACTGGGGATGTGGCTCAAGCGGTTGTGCGCTCGCCTGCGTGCGGCTGGGTTCGATCCTCAGCACCACATACAAAGATGTTGTATCCGCTGAAAACTAAAAAATAAATATTAAAAAAAAAGAAAAGGAAGGAACCTACATGGGCTAAACCTACTGGTCATACATTAGTTTTATAAGGTTCTTATAATTAGTGATCTTTTGGATGCCTAGCAATTAAAATTTAAGTTCTTCTCACAAGTGTCATCCAGAATAACTATTTCTTTCTGATAGGAGGTTAAGGGCATTATTTTGACTCAATAAACAAAATAAGATTAATTTAAATGATTCAGATATTCATCTTGGAATGGCTGATTTTCCATGATACTGGTACCGTCAAAATGACCAAGGGACAGAGGTGGCATTTTAAATATTCACCATTGTAGCAATATTACTATTTTCTACTTAATAGGTTGTCAGGAATACAGTTGAGACTCATTTTTTAAGCAGTGGTCTCTCATACTTTATGAGGAAAGCATGCAGTCTTCTTGGTGAAGTTCTTGGTTAGAACTTTGGAGAAGAATCTGATAGTTTTGAGACAGAACTGAAAAAATAAAATTCAGGGAGCTTTCTGAATTGAGCTAACTTGTGGATTTGCTCATCCCTTCAGATGAATCTCAGCTTCAATTTCAGTTTTGCTACTTAGCTTTTACATGAAGCTGGTTCAATAACTGAACTTCAGTTTCCTCTTCCATATAACAGGAATGGGAGTAACAAAGCATTACTCATCCTAGATGTTTGCTTATTCTCAATAACTTTCATCTTAGTTCCTCTTAGAGAAACAGAATAACTAGAAGATCAGAAACAGCTGGTGTACACACTGGAGTTTTGAGGAATCTATGTTCCACTTCCTGGGTACTTGGAAGACAAAGGACAATTTAAAGCTGATTGACTTTGACACATCCTTTGGAGAAACAATTTCAAAACTCTTGTCAGGTACAACCAGAGAAATGAAAAGTTGTGCTCCATTTGTGTAAAAAATTAAATTAAATTAAATTAAGAGGCTGGGTGTGGCTCAATGGTAGAGCACTTGCCTAGCATGTGTGAAGCACTGGGTTCGATCCTCAGCACCACATAAAAAACTAAATAAACAAAACAAAGATATTGTGTCCATCTACAATTAAAAATATTTTTCAAAAATTAGTTAAATTAAAAAAAAAACTCATGTCAGATGGGATAATGCTGGACGGCCTCAAATTAAAATTTTGAAGTAGATAAAATATATTTTCATTTCCTCCATGCTCCTAATTTTTATCCTTTCTGTATTCTGAGAGGATGTCCTTTCCTAGATGCACAGTATCCCTCTGCTGCTCATAGATGCTCTGGGTCAGGTATTGCCAACTAGCTGGGCTGGTGACCAGGTCGGCCCTCTACCTTAAGGGTTCATTGGAAAGAGAGAGCAAGCCACCAGAAAATACTCTATTTATTGGAAAGAAAGACATTCAATAAAGTTCAACCCAAATAAGGCAAGGGATTAGGGTTCCGGGGTTGCTTGGCAATGTCCTGTGGTCAGCAAATTTGACTGACATCTCGGAAAGCCATGCCCATCTCAGGTGCTGTGTGGGATCAAAGGCAGAGCAAGTGAAAAGGACACATAAGTCCATCAGTCCAGTCAGAGAAGCAACGTCAGGCTGGTGAGGACACATTTTTAAAGGCAAAAAACTGTGTAATGTTCTCCTTGTCTATTACAGGAGAGGCATGATTCTGCCAAAAGCATTTCCTCTGCTTTTTCCTCTTCTAAGACAAGCAAAACTGAGAAGGGGGAAGAAATTCTTTCAGCACCTAAGATCAATTTCAAGTGGCATAATAGAATCACTAATGAGCAAAGCAATCGAGGAACACCTTGAAATGATTGTCTCACAAGCTACAGTGGGAGGGCCAGGCCTAGTCTCACCTGCCTGACTATTTTTGGCCTGGGAGACTATAGACAGACCAGGTAGAAGGTGACATATTTGCAAGATTCCAGGGGAGAGCCATTCAAACAATAGCCTAAGAGCCTAGAGCCGTAGCCAGAGCAGGGCCTGCAGCAGACAGAATCATGAAGGCTTTGTGACCAGGCAAGTTTTGCCCTGTGAGTCCAACAGACACAAACCAAAAAAAGATTTTTCCACATACACTCTGCAGAAAGGCCCTGTCATCTGTCACATCCGGGTATTTTCCATCACACTTGCGTACATGGATAACAACAGTGTCAACAGTATCATCCTTGACTACAAAGGACAACAGCGATAAATCTCGGGGCCCTTTGAATTTGAAGATAGCATTGTTAACTACTGTGAATGCCAGATTTTTTATTGTCAACAGAGCTTCTCAAGTTATTTATGCCTGCAATGAATTGTTTTAGATCACCCCCTCTTTTAGCTGCTTTTCTGAGACATGTCATAATGAAATTGAGACTGTTGTTCAGTAACAAATCCTACATTGCCTAAACGACCACTGAAATTGGAGTTCCCCAACCCAAACTCTGAACCTCTCTCTCTTTTCACCTTGCTCCACTTTAGTCTGTCTCTATAATTCCCTTGGGAACTTATCAGTGGCACAAACTGCTATCTCATTCTTCATTCTGGAAACTGAAAATCTTCCAAAAGAATAAATCACTCTCTGAGACTCCTTAAATGCTTGGTTCCAAACCATTTCTGCAAGGATTTTTGAAGAACCTGCACAAGGAGGCTATTGTATGCATATACAAATAAATGACACAATTCAATGGTTTAATACTATCTGCCAAGTTAAACTACTGCCGAGCAGCTGTGCACATTTAAAATGATGCCTGGCACAACTGGAGATCCATAAATCATTAGCTGCATACTTTCATCCAATTAAGAGAGTAAAATAAGAAAAAAAATCCACCAATTGAGATGTGTCTAAGGACATGGATGAAATCGTCATTCTTCCCTGAATGAGAAAATAAATAAAAAATAAAAATAAATCTTCATTTTGCTAATGTTAAAACTAGAATTTCATTTCTAAGGACACAAATTTTCTGGCATATTAAATCCTGGCATAAGATCTTGTTAGGAGGGTTATTTTGGTCTCATTGCTTTGTCTTTCTGTAAGTAAGAGGGCAAACTAAAAGGGATGATTCACTCTGAAGAGCAATCATTCCTAAAAAGGAGTGTGTGCGTAAGCCAAGATTCCAAGGCTTTCCTGAAATTACAGCCATGTTATAGTTTGAGGGGATCATCTCTGTGTAGTAAATTCCTTTTTTTTTTTTTTGGCTTGTTCATCTTCAGCAGTCAGATAGTAGAGGCAATGGATGCCTCCATCCTGCCTTGGTCAGCCTGGGCATGTAGGCTTGACTAGAGAAGATGGGTCAAACTAAAATGAGGAGAAATCACATTGTTATAATTGGGTCACTGTAAGAAGGGTGACCAAGCATTCTGTTTTGTTTCTGGGATGCAGAATTTACATGTTAAAATGAAAAAAAAAAAAAATTCCCAGGAAATCAGGATGAATGGGTCAAATCTAGTAGGAGATCAAGTTTTAGGTGATTTGGAAAACCTGAATTATCCTAAACTAGCTGATAATTCTCCCTTTCTCTTTAGCTGAATGATCAGTCTCAGCAATCCAGGCCCCAAACACCATTATGCCTCAATTAATTCTATTAATGGAGTCTTTGCTTTGTGCTCTCTCCAGACAAGAGGACTTACATTTAAAAAGATTTGGAGAATCCTTGCATTAACTCTAAAGGAACCTGTGACAACGTCTTGTTATCCTCAAAATTACCATTTTAGGTACTTTCTTAATGTGAAACTTCAAATGTATACTATTATGACTGTCAGACCATCATGCAGAACCTCTGAGAGGCACATCTGAGCCACGATTGCTCCTAGGAAGTTGCACATCATCACTCTAAGCCTAAAATATAGATGAGAATCACAGCAGAAATAAGGCCAGATGGTAGTGAACCCAACAAGGCGAAATGCTGAATTTCAAAGCTAACTATGAATCAAAGGCTTGAGGAATTAAATGCATGTTAAAGATCCTGGCAGGCAAGAGCTCTCAGGAGGATCAGAAGTAATTCCTTCTGCCCAATAATGTTTCAACCTTTTTACTCAACTTGGTAACTATTTCTTAATTATTGTGTGCCAGAAATTGAACTGGGGGTGGGGGGGGCAGATAGGGCCATAAACAAGGTCAACATGATCTCTTTTACCATGGATTTTATGGTCTGTAGTGTATATTACTTGTTTTCTTTCTCCCGTTAGACTGTAGACTTTTCGAGGACAGGACTAATATTGTATTTACTTTCTTAATCTCCTCACACCTAGCACAGTGGTTTACACATAATTAATAACAAAAGTTTGTGGAATGAATGAAGGACTCCACTGACTGACTGAATGAAGTCAGCTCTGAGCTGAATGCATGATCTTTTATGAGCGAGAACAGCCCTACACCCCAAATCAGAAAAAAAATGAGAGGCCTACAGGTGTTCTATGTTCACTATTGGAACCAGGCCAGAGAGGCTGAGATTACAGAGATTCTTGCACCAGGAAGTGTTAATGTGATATATATTTAGCGCATGGGCTCTAAATATTTCACAGCTGAGAATAAAGTAGAATTGCCTGGATCAGAACATTGAAAGAGACCTTGTTATAGGAAAAAGACAAAGTAAATGTTTGAGGCTGAACTTCATTCTAAGGTAATACAATAAGAATCTCTGTGTAGAGGGTACAAGGTTTTTTTATTTTATTTATTTATTTATTTATTTTGTGGTGGTGATTGAACACAGGGTCTTATGTATACAAGGCAAGCACTCTACTAATTGAGCCATATCCCCAGCCCCTAGAAGGCATTTCTAACCCTGCTTTGCACTTATCACACATGTTGCGGTGATGAATCATCTTATTTCTCTTTTGCTCCCATTCACCTTTCAAGATGCAGCTCAGCTGTCATCTTCTCTGGGAAACATCCTTTGGTGATCTTTCTGACTTGCCCTAATCTGGGTAGAGTTGAATAGTATCCAGAATTCTTCTCCACCTGGATCCTGTGAAGTTGACCTTATCTGGAAATGAGCTCTTCCAGACCTAATCAAGTTAAAATGAGGTCATACTGAGTTAGGATGGGCACTAAATTCAGCGACTGGTGTCCTATAAGGAGAAGAAAAATTGAATACCCACACAGAAGAAAAGGCCTTGTGGAGAGGCAGAGATTGGAGTGATGAGTCTATAGCCAGGCAATGCCAGGAATTATTAGCAGCTACTAGAGGCCAGAAGATGCTGGCCTAAGGAAGGATGCTTCTCCTACACTTTAGAGGGAACACTACACTGCCAACACATTGATTTTAATTTCTAGGGTCCAGAACTGTGAAAGAATAAATTTCTGTTGTTTTAAGCTCCTCAGTTTGTGACCATTTGTAATAGCAGTCCTAGGCAACAAACATAAAGCCCTTTTCTTCTACATCCACCTACAGACAACACTGCCACACCATATTGGATGTTCTTTTCATGTACATATCTCCCCACCCAGATTATGATTTCTGGGATAGGAAGTATGTTTCACTTGTTCTAGTATCCTCACCACCTAAAACAAAATCTGGTAAAATAAATCTTATTAATGTAAACTGATTGGGACATGACTGGTAATTCTAAATGCTGACAAAATTCAGATTTGCCGTGTATGCCAAAATTTCAGACTCACTAATCCATGTCAAAGCCAGGCCGTTCCTCTAGAAATAGCTCCTCCCCTGAGTGCTACTTATTCTAGCCTGAGGAGTAGAAGTAACAAATATGGAAATATGGAAAAGTGAATTTACTACAAATTAGTAAGAGTAGTATTTAAAAAATATCTCAATCTTGATATTGTCTATGGAGGGCAAATGTTAGAAATGGAGTTCTTCATGATAAACATGCTCAAAAACACTGTCTTAACCCATGTTTTGTTAAGAAAAGAGCTCCAAGCCCCCAAATTATGGGATTGATTATTTGCTAGGCAATAAAAAGAGAAACTGAGAAGTTTGTTTAAACATACCATAAAACCAGAATCTCCTAATTTTGCCAGAAATATTATAATATTTTTTCAGAAATGCAACTAAAATCTTAGAGTACTTCTGTGAACTTCATCAATGTTTATAAGTTGATTATTTGGATTAAGAGCCACAAAAGAAGTGTCCATAAAGAATGTAAGAGGATTATAATTTCTGTGAAGACAGTGTCATTTGTCCTTGTTAAAAATGAAGAAACAAGAATAATTAATCATGTCATTTCCTCAAGTGTCAAAGGACCTGGCAGGAACATCTTTCACATGGATTTAATTTTGGGGGTCTAAGTTCTTCCCATCTTGTAGTTCTGTTATTTGCAACACATGGATTCCAAAGACCCTGAACTTATTTCCATTAATCTGGAAAAGGGGAATGAAAGAACATGGAGAACCACTCTTGGGAGGCTCTTAGGGGACAGAAGTGTCTCTGTCACTTCTGTACAATTTCCATTGACTGAGACTTAGTCTTGTGACCACTTCTAATTGCATTAGTGCCTTGTAAACCATGTGCACCCAGGAAGAAGAGGAGTCTGGTTCAGTGAACAGCCAGCAGTCCCTGTCTTACTGAATTACTGAATACAACTATTTTATAGCACATTACAGCATCTCAAAAGTTTTAAGAAGACTTAAATAAAACAAAGCAAAATATCTGGGGCAAATCTTGCAAGAATTAGGTAAATCTATTCAATCCCAACAACAATATTTGAAATGAAAGAAAACAATTAAAAGTATGAATGAACTCTGATAAAAACAGGGTCTGAGGCTGGGGATATAGCTCAGTTGGTAGAGCGCTTGCCTCTCATGCACAAGGCCATGGGTTCATTCCCCAACACCATCAAAAAGCAAAACAAAACAGGGTCTGTATATACTTAGAATCCCATAAATTAAACATTTAGACTGTCTTTTTCTAACATTCCCTCTGAATATTTTGTTAAGCTTGTGATTAACATATAAGTCACTAATTAATTTAAAATTTCTTTATCTCCAAAGTTTAGAATTTAAACAAGTAGAAAAAAAAATGACAGCAATTTTAATGTGACACTTAGTTGTAAACTGCAGATTCCCTTACAAAAAGCTTAGTTGTCAACATTGGGTTACCTCTCTTTGCATTGAGAATAGCTACTTCTATACAACCACAGTTTTGGTCAAATCAGTTGATCTTCCTGATAGCATCCATAGCAAAATTCCACACATTTGGTGTTTCTTGGAATGATGTAGTATAGCTGGCCTTATGGTTCAACCGAAAGCAAGTTAAATTCAGCATGATGTTTGGAATGGTTATTTTCTGATGCAGTTTGTTTTAAAATCTGGGTTTCTTCATTGTATTTCCCTGCAGTTAAGATTAATACAATGAGGCAGAGACTTATGTTTAAGTTATCTTTACTGTGTAAAGGGGCAGATTGTCATCAGCTTGCTTGAGAGGTATCATATACTGACTGACTCAAGCAAGGTCAGCCTTTGGTAATTTCTAGTTTCTGCTGAAGGTTTTCTTTTCCCTTTTTTCTTTTCAGCTAATATATGACCCTAATAAATTATCACTCTAATTGGGTGTTTGCTCCGTCAACTCAAAAATAGAATTACTAAGAAGGGTAAATGAGTTAATAAGTCCTTTTGTTTTTCTTAACAAGGCATCTCTTAAATTCTAAATGTTAAATTATAGGGAATTATTACAAACCTTCCCTCATTTGATGACATCTGTGGCTAAATGTTGGGGCCTTCCTTTGTACATAAGTTATTGCATTAAATGCTGCCAGGGAAAATAAGTACAGTGTGCTTTATGAAATATGTTATTGAGTAAGTGAGGTTTTAAAATAAGGAAAGGATACCCAAACTGTTTTGTCCTGACCTACGTGTGTGTGTGTGTGTGTGTGTGTGTGTGTGTGTGTGTGTGTGTGTGTGTTGGTGCCTAATGTAGCGAATCATTCCAAGATTGCTCAATAACACCATTTCATGCTTTGAGAAGCTGGGGTAATGTTTGCTTCTTTTCTAAAGTAAAACTCATCAGAAAGCATATCATAGAATGCAGAATAAGTTGATGTTAACATAAAGTCGGGCTGCCTTTTATGTCTTCCTGGACTCTGAAGAGAGGAATCCCAACCTCATTAAAAACTGAGCAATGAATGTTTCCGGTTAATGTGAGTGCGGGTGGGGGAGCAGGGGAAAGCCAGAAGCAGGCTTGGACTGTTAACTAATCTCTTACAGTCTTGGGAGATGCTTAAATGAGTGAAGCAGTTAAAGTCAATACTCCTGGGAGACCAGGAGGAAAACTGATGCAGAGAGTTAATGAAAATCCAAACCTACAAGCAGTTGGTATCTACAGACTCTGAAGTTGGTGGTTCAGCCAGGCATCAAGGTATCTCACACCCTAACATATGAGCAGATGCTCAGGTTTCCTGAAAAACAAACACACACACAATTTATGTATGCATATTACACAGCTCCAAGTTTACCCATCACACAAACACAAGTGGTTTATGCACTATGGGCAGTATATAAATTTATACCAAAAAAAAAAAAAGAAGATGAAGAATGCACAGAGAACGATTGTTTTGCTCAGTGTGTAGGTGAACTTTGATGGAACTTAGTAACGAACACAGAACATTTATTACCATGATCAATGGCTCTCTGGGGAGTCATTTCCTTGCCCTCCTGGCTGGAGGTACAGGACTGCAGTGACAGCGTTGGGTAAGAAAGGAAGAGAACAATAGGTTCTGTGAGTTCAAGAAGCTGAGGTTGCCCTCACTGAGTGGGTGGTACAAGCATCAGTCCTGAGCAGCACATAATTCAGAGGAGTGACGGATTCCTGTGCAATGTGGAAATAACAAAGGGGGTAAATTGAGAGCAAATTATGAAAGTGCACTTGAATCACCCAAAGTGCTGAGGATTTTTCGTGTCAACAGATTCCACTATTGAAAAGCCACACGCCTGGTGAATTTCCTGATCAAATCCAGGACACTAACACGAAGCAACCCAACAATATTACCCAAACCAGACTCTGCCAGGTATTGAGCCGACTGGATCAATTAGAAAACAAGTAGCTTTTTCACCCTTAAAAAAAATGAATGAATGAATTTTATTTGTTTGAATTTTTAAAAAATAAATATAGTTAAATCAGTAACTCTGGTTCATTTCAGCTTTCCCTACCACTGGGTGCAGGACTGGCTTCAGTTTCTCTGCCTTCTCTTTGTCTGTGATGACAGGTATGAAAGTATTTGCTACATCAAAGTTTTAACTTCATATTATCCTTATTTTTATTGAACTTGACAGATTTGGCATCTTTTCGCCTGGCTGTGAGCACAAAGTCCTTGGTTTCCTCATTTTGAAAGGAATGGTGACCAGAGAGGACTCTGACAGGCATAGCCCTAGAAAACCCTTGTCACCCTCTTCACAAGAGTGCTTAAAAACTACTGAGGCTCTCCTTTGCTTTGTTTTTCATTTCAAAGTCACAAAACAAAACAAAACTGACCCTGGATAACTTTTTTAAAAACATATAAAAACCTTTTAATTAGGACATATTCATTAAATGAGACACTTTCCTTCTGTTTGCCTTAGCTTTGTTCTCTCCTTTATTTCATTTTCCATTTACTAGATAAACTCCTGGCAGTATCCAGGGACATACTTGGGCGTTTTAAGAAGTCAGATGCCTGGTCACTAAGTTTTAGAATCACACAAAGGTAACAACTGGAAAAAAAGCTTTGCAATGAATAAAAGCCCCCCTTGGGAGTACATCCCATTGCCCTGGGCACCCCCTGGAGCCCTGGCACCCAGAGATGTGCAGTGGTGTTGAAAGAGAATTGCCAGGGTTGACTTGGCACTAAGGATCCATGATTGGCTTTGACGTTGGGTGGAGGATGATCAAAAGCCCTTCAAAAATCAGCCTCCAAGGGAAGCTCCATTGTCTTTTGTCTTTTCCAGCCCAATGCTTTCCCCACTGCCCCCTGCCAAGATAGGGACTGTCAACACGTGATGCTCCAAACTTTCAATGAGGGGGTAGAAAAGGCTGAATTATGAATCTAAGTTCTATAGAATGAAATAGTTTTATTCTGTGTAACAATGGATCTTAAACGTGTTGATTATCAGAGTCCCTTGATCACATGAGGAGTTAAAAAAAAAAAAAAAAAACAGCTCTAGGATGCCTAGCTCGCAGTCTGAATCCCTGGGCACCAGGTCAAACTCAGCAATCTGTAATTTGAATGCTCCCAGATGACTCCAATGATCAGCCATATTCAAGAAGCAGAGACAGAAGTTAGTTATTTTTTAAACCAAGTATTTTTAAATGTACCTTTGGAGATTCCATTAAAACATATTTCTTGCACTTTACTCCCAATTCTAACACTTTACCAAGTCACATATCTCCTTCCACTTTCTTTGAATAACTATGGTTTATAGTCGTAGCAAACTCAGCCCTGCAGAAGGATACATTAAGCTCTATTTTTACTAAATTTACCATGTAACTTAAATCAATAGCGTTCATAATTTCATAAAACCAGAAAAGACTTCTTAATCCTATTTTTATAACACTCAGAATTGTCATCTATTATCTCTTGGGATGTTGTAAGAAATTTTAAATTAAACTCCTCTGGGTTCACTTAAATTGCTTAAGTTGGAAAAACATTGCTTTAGATTGCAGCAAAGACTCCAAGGTGCGTCTGATCTCCTCCATGCTCTCCCACCCTCCCTGCGCCTACGCCCCACACCTGTGCAACAGAAGCTCTGACCTAAGTTCTTTTCCATTAAGGTCCAGGCAGGAAAACATACACCATGTTAGGTATTTGAACAGGGAATTTGCTAGGGGAAATTTATTATAGAAGTTAAAGAGTGAGAAAGCAAAAAGGGCCATTATGAGCACAAAGGCAGGAGGCAGCTACCACTCTTAGGGATGAGATTGGAGTTACCAAAACTAGAAGTTGGACAAGGGTCATAGACAGCTGGGACTCAGGTGTCAGGGTAGGGGGACTGCCAAGCCACTGCTGGTGCCCTGGAGCTTGGAGGATGGCATCCTGGGTCTGGGTCTCTGACCTCTGATGAGGGCACTACCTGGATGCTGCTCCTACCACAGGCCTCAGTCCAAGTACAATGAGTTCAAGAGTAAGGAAAAAGCTGAAGCCAGGAACCGACTACTGCGGCCAATGACAGGCTATCCTTAGGGTGGCACATGAACCAGCAAAAGAGGAAGAAGGAAAGTCCCTCCCCACTCTTCTTGCTGCCCAATCTCCTTCTAGGATCTCCTAACAGGAAGCGAGCTGACCAGTGCAAAATGTGATCTCCAGAGTCTTCCTCTCTGCAACACAAGAGAGCATCCTAATCAAGACAAGGTCCCCTTGGGTCAGGAGAGCACTGGAAGTTGCACTGGTAGGAACAATGAGGTTAAAGCTTTTGTTTTCATGTCTATATTTTTTTCTGATGGTCAAATAAATTTGGGGAAATCAGATTTTAACCCACTCTGGGAGTGTCACAGTGTCTATTAGCCTGCTTTATTATTTATTTATCAGAGGTAGTGGGGATTGAACACAGGGCCTCCCTCATGTTAAGCAAGTACTCTAACATTGAGCTATACCTTCAACCTTTAGGAGCATATTAGAGGATCTGAGAAGTCCTACACTAAAGGAAAATGCTCTACTTTGCTTAATTATTTCTAAAATTTATTCAGTGTAGACTTTCTTCCTCAGAAAATATAATATTCCTCAGAACTTGCAAACTTTGTCAATGCTATTTTAAAGAAACTACTACATAAGGCCACCTTTTTAATCTATTAGCTTCTAAAGTTGGGAAAAAGAAAAACTATATATCTAAGTGAAATCAAATAATTAGTAAGAAGACTGCAATTCTATCTGCTAAGTATTCTACCTATTTCTCTTTTATGCTTCCTGGTATCTGTGAAATGGAGATCCTTGTCTGCCCTTTACCATACTCTTTGGGAAAAAAAAGTCCTCACTGACCCTCCAGAAGGATCACTCTTATAAGCTACAACAAAGACCATCAAGCTCAACAAAATCACATAGAAATGGTGGTGTTATGTGGAACTGTACAGATCATTGCAGGGTGCCCTGGATGCCCAAGCTGCCTAAAACACACAGAGCTTGGAAAGGGAGCTTGGAAAGTACAGAAGTCTCAGGGTTACAAGAAAGTACAGAAGTCTCTCCATACTGCCTCAGACTGAAAAAACCCCTGATCATAACATCTGACACTGACAGAATTGAGCCACAGAGTGCAGCACAGTCAAGTTTGAGGAGCTGAACCGGAAGGCTGTGTAGATACAGGCTCAGAGGCCACCATTTGGCAGGTGCAGGTTAGTGAGCATAAAAGGTTCTCTACAAAGACCCATGCTAAGAGAAAAAAAAATGGTCAGAATGGATGTGGGGAGAAAGGAACGAATAACCACTGGATGATTTTTCAGATCTCATGAGGACTGGCACAAAATTCTTCATATTTAACTAGACAGTTTTGTTTTTATAACACTGTAGTGTCCAGCTAATATAAGTGGCCCCATCAAGTTATGCTAATCCTGTTTTTACCTCTGAGTTCAACTTTGTTCATGAAGACAACTGATTCCTGTCTAGGCAAAAACAGTTTGAATTAATTTTATGAATTTGACTATTTCATTTCCTACCCTAAAAATAGGTGTCAAAAAGTCCAAACACTTGAACGTAGGTGCAAGTAACCAAAACAGGATTTCAGCTTATTTTTTGCATCTTGATGTGCTACCTATAAACCTGACATGATGCTAAATTCACACTAAGATAAAACATCAAGGCCTAACTCTAGCGTGGAGAACCTTTCTGTCTCACTCATTTGGAAGATAATGAGTTGAGGCAGAAGCCTGAAAAATTTGTCTCCAATACTCACATAACAAAGATCAGATGTTCTTGGGTGTACAGACAGGAGAAACCATACCCATTTAAATATCTATGGTTCCAGGAATTAAAATCTCCTGTTAACATCTCAGCCTAATTCAGAATTTTATTTCTGAGATTAAATTCTTCTATTGGATCTGGTTTCATTTCACAGGCAAAGCAATGTTCCCAAATATTGCCCAAGTCAGCCTCCAACCACAGACTTCTCTAAGGAAGAAGATCTATAATGGGTTACTTGTGTTTGTTCTTTTTCCTTAGGGAATACCACATCTTCCACCTTTGAAATGCTCTAGCTTTATCTTGTTTCTCCTTTATTTGATTCTGTACTTTCTTGAAATTAGTCAGTCTGCTTTCCAACTTCAGTGGTAACACAGCTTTCCCTTTGCTCAGTGGCCCACAATTGAAGCAAATCTCCCTCCCCAATCCCACATTTAGTTTTGTTACTTGAACCCCAGCATGTATAGGAAAGATTGATCTAAAAATAACAGAGTACCCTCTCACCCTTAAGTGGAATTCTGGCTCTGATTAACTTCATGACTAAGGTGCAGACAGCACACAAATTAACCCTTTTGTAGGCCTGAAAAATTACTCCTAATAAATATCTCACTAAGAATATTTATTTTACTCCTAGTAAATATTTCAGCAGTATCTGCTTTTTCTTTTTAACAAATTTAAACATTAATTTTATAGGTTATTTCTGAACTAGGATCTAATTATGTTGGCTGTTATTTCTGATGATTCTGGATTGTTTGTGTATTTTCCAATTTTAAATTGTGAGCTCATGTTTAGTGAGACTTTATCTATAGAAATCCTACACAGCCTGGGTTGAAAATATGTCTTTCTAGAGAAGGCTTTGAATTACTTCTATTAAGTGCACTGAATTATTACCAGGCCCATAATGTTTTTTTTCCCCTCACTTAAAGAATCTAGGTCTTCTAGACAGTATAAA